TTAAATCAATAACTGATTATCGAATTACCGAATACCGACTACCTACAAATGTCATCAACCCCCCAACCTCTCTCTCATACACCATGACCGGCTTGGGTCGATAAGGGGTTTTTCGTTCCACACTTTTTCGGTGGACAGTTAATAACGCGACCGGGTGTTTATTGCTAAAAAAGTTTTCAAATAAAAAAACACCAATTATACCAATAAACAATAATTATTTTAGTTTTAACTATTGCAAAAAAAACAAATGCAATAGTTAAAACATTGTTTTAACTATTGCATTTGTTTTTTTAATACAAAAATATATATTATTTGTATTAAACCTTTAACAATTTTTTTATTTTTTTATTTAAATATGGCTTCGACTACTAGGTCATTAGCCTTTAGTTTACATTTACATTTACATTTTTTAGTACAATATTGAATTTTACAGTTTATTACATAAGTTAATTAATTTTAATAAATTTTAGAATGTTTTCTTCGTTGTTTTCTTTTAGTGCGTTTTGAATGTTGTTTGGCTGGTTGAGTATGTGACGTTCGTTTTTGTAGTTGTTGCATTCTGTAATGATGTGTTTTCATGGAGATTGGTTTATTGCAGGTAGAACATATTGGCTGAGGTTCATGGTTGAGTAGGTGTGCGTGGGTAAGGTGGCTGTGTCCAATTCGGGTTCTTGTAAGTATTATGTCCTGTCTTCTAGTCAGTGATACGTTTGAAAGCCATTTTTTGGTTGTTGTTTTAATATCTTTTACTGTTCGACTTTGTCAAAAATGTTAGATATGATATAAAAAAACACTTAGTACACGAACATATATATTTTTTTCATTTTTTTGACCTAACTATTATTATTTGACACTCGTCAAAACTTTCGGATAACATAACATTCCGATAAAATACGTTTAAAAAAAAAAATCTTATACTTGTGAACAATTACTAAAATTGGAGATTGAAAAAGTTGGCAAGATTACACACGAGAACAAAGCGGTAAACATATTTATGAACCTCTTTTTAATCGAGTATTCAGTGTAATAGATTATTTCAGTTCGAGAAATATATCCAGTGGTGAGCTATATCTAAATTTATTTAATAGTTGGTAATTAATATTCAATTACAAATTACTTTTTTATGAACTAACTAATTATTAAAAAATGTAAAACTTACATTTTTAATTAATTACTTTAATTACTGGGTGGAGTGTCTTTCCATATATTTTATGCCATTTTTGGTGGAATCTTTTGGTGATTTGATGTGTAACGTCATTTGACTTTAACAATTATCACCTTATAAATGTCATAATAACTACACACCTAATTTACAATATGGTCACGATCAAAGATAATTTGGTCTGGCAAATTGATAATTCGAACAACTATGGTATGAACAGCTCGTTTTATCATTTCTCACGAAATGACTGCCATTTTAGAGTTACTGAAATTACATTCAGTCAATCCGAAAAAAGTAGAGTTTTGTTCTAAACGACTTTATATCAACTGTGACTTAACTAAATCCATATTCAGCTAATTATATTATTAATTTTATTTATTATTTATTTAATTATATTATGTTGAAAAATTGTTTTTTAATATATAATAAAAATGATAAAGTAAACATCAAACTACGTAATAAAAGCTTTACTCCGAAGTACAAGTTACAACCAGAATAAAACTAGCGTTTTTTGTAGACGAGATTTAGAAATAATATTTGAATAAGACCGCGCAACAACATGGCGTTCGTACACACGATAATGCCAACAGAACAAAAGTTAACTCTATAATTTTCGTTTTTCACATCTGGTACACCGCGTTTGTACTTAAAAAAAAAAAATTGAATTTGTGTAAACTTAAAGTCAAAAGTGGTACTTGAGCAAAAAACTTAATAGTATCATTCTGCATAGATATACATTAAATTGTTTAAATGATTTGATCAATTTTTTTTAAATATTTTTGTGTGTTTTTGTTAAAACATACGAAATCTGCGAAAACAGTTTTCCGGCAATTAAAAAAAACTGTAGTGCCGAGTTTTTTTCCGTTTAATATGTTACGGATACATATGAGTTCCAACAACTGGCAAATTTTCAACCCAAAGGTCTTAAAATTACAGCTAAAAAACCCCGAAAAAAACTTGTACCCCCCTCCCTAGGGGATTGGGAAATGGGTATAGTTTAAATTTGACACAACTGACTTGTGCGGGCATACCAAATAACTATTCCTTAAAAATTTCAACTCGATCCGACTCTTTTTCTCGAAATTATAGCTAGTAAAAGTTCTAACTTAAAAACTCGTACGGTTTTCTTTTGGTTTTTCCAAATTTCGTCTGTGAAGAAGTAAACTTTTTCAACTTTTACCCCCCCCCCCCCCCCAAGTACCAACTAGACAAAATTTGCGATTTATAGAGTTGCTATTCGAAGAAATTGGTCCAGTATTAAAAACGTTACAGTGTATACAGATAAAAAAAAAGCCCACATCAGAGTAAAACCAATACCTCCTCGCTTTGCATCGAAGCTAAAAAAAAAATACATCTATTATCATTTATTTTTAAAAAGATTTAATAATAAAAATTACCTGATGGTTTATTTGTAGTTAATGTGCATCGCGCCGTTGAGTTCTAACACGTTTTATGAGGAATGGGGCAAGTATGTGCAGCTAAACTTCACGGTATATTTTAGTCCCGAATGTGTACTTTAATCATATTATAAAACTAGAGGGGAGTCTAGGGGATAAAATAGTTAAAATCCACTATTAAAATATGAATGCTCGTATAAGCTGTCAAACCAATAAAACGTCAATAAAGATAAGGTTATTTTAAAAACTACGATTATATAAGATAACATTTCATTTACTAGTATATATAAGTGTACAATTTCAATTTACAAACGACTTATACATCACTTAATTTTAAAATAATCGTAGTTTCAATAAACAAGTATTTGTATTGAACATTTTAGAAATTTTACTTTTCGTAAACTTCAAACATCTCTCTAATTTAATTTGTTAGGTAGGTACTTAATTAATAGTGAACCACAGAGTATGATTTATGAGAAATGTTAAATATTGATAAATGTTGCCAGTAAATTGATTAAGGCTAGATATTACAAAACTACTAAAAACCGTTTGGCCAGAACATATAATTAAGACTATACTATCATAAATCGCAAGGAGAATATAGATCGAAAAAAATCATATAATTATCAGGACATATACATGTATTGATGTATCTGCATGAAGTGTAATCACTCTTAACTTTTTTTTGTTTGCTGTTCAGCTATGCCGTGGTTTGGCATGGATATAGGAGGAACACTTTCGAAATTAGTATTTTTCGAGCCAAAAGACAACGTTGTGGAAAATACTGAAGACGAAGCTCAACTTTTATCGAACGTCACGAAATACTTGACAAAAAATACAGCTTACGGAAAATCCGGTCACAGAGACACGCATTTACAGGTTTGCGCCAATTCTCATTGTTATTCTGCTCCCCGTGTATAATTTCCACCTACACTAGCCTGTTACACGGTAACAATATTTCCAAATGAAAATACCCTATTTGCTTGTAGTTAAGTTGCGAAATTGGTTTCGTTTTCAGTTGGACAATGTAAAAATATGTGACAGGATAGGAACGTTACATTTCATCAGATTCCCCACTTGCGAAATGAGCAATTTCCTTGAACTAGCCAAAAAGAAAGGCATGGCGGCCAGTGTGTCTACGGTATGCGCGACTGGCGGTGGAGCGTACAAGTTTGAGGAACATTTCAAAAAGGTAAACGAATGCTGCATACAATAACCGGGTGGGGGAGGGAGAAAATGTCTAAATACTTAATTCAAACATTTTCAAAAACTCTGAAGAGTACTTTTGCAAGTAGGTACTGTCGATACAACGAAACAAATTTTGGAAATTCATCTGAAATTGTCATCACAATTTCTGTTTACTGTCGTTTTTTCACATAGTTCCATAGCACAGTAATAGTTGTAATTTGAGCCCGTCAAAATCCAAAGTGGTGTTTTTCGTTCAATCAGTATGCTATGTGGGCAATTGTTACTATTATTACTAGTTATTATTATGAAAGAAAATTAAAAATCGTCGAACGTGTTTTTTAAAAGTGGTGCTCACTATCTGAATAATATAGCTTACGTGATTTGTGCATTTGACAGATACTTGCTCGAATATTGATTTACATCATAAAATACAATTTTAAAAAATCTCACTTGCACCACTTAACTTTTTAAGGGCTCATTTATAGGGATTTCTTTTATCGTTAACATTGCTCTTTTGTATCTAGAAAATACGGCCTATATAATTGGGTAGACTATAAAAATTAAATTATTACTTCCTTGTTGATAAACAGCTACTCGTTGGGCGTTGATAACTCGTTAAATTAATATACATTTGTTTCTAAGAACACTACTAATCTTAACTTAATCTAGACTTTTGTTTTATTATAATATACTATGTACTTTTTTTTTTAATTATGAGTGTATAATTTAGATGTACTGTACCCTTATTGCTTCCCTTTGCTAACAGTGTGACCTGTACTGTTGCTGTGATATTTATAAAAATGAGTAACAATCGATTTAACTATTTGTATAATTAATTGAAAATATTTTTAACGTTGAAAATGATAAAAAAACGAAATAATGTTCTATAGGTGTTGAATTTGAAATTGTGCAAATGTGATGAATTGGACAGCTTGATCCAAGGAATGTTGTTCACCGTAGCGTCGAACAATAACGAATGCTACTTTTGGTCTCAATGCACCGAAGACGAACAATGTTCGACACAAAAGTACACATTTCCGTACAAAAAATACCCTTTCATCGTAAGTGATCATCAACAGTGATACAATAACGTTAGAAAAAATGTATACTTATATTAATGATTTCTTTTATTGCTCGAAGGTCGTAAACATAGGGTCCGGCGTCAGCGTGCTCGCAGTATACGGACCAAACGATTTCAAAAGAATAACGGGCACCAGGTAATAATTAAAACGATGTTACATGTGTTGCAATTATAACAATTCTGCTACAGTTCAACAATGTTGATGTGTTCATCGCAGTATAGGAGGCGGTACGTTTTTGGGCTTGTGCAGTTTGCTGACCGAATGCAATACTTTTGATGAGGCGATCGATCTAGCCGCCAACGGAGACAACACAAAAGTCGACAAACTAGTGCGAGACATTTATGGCGGAAGTTACAGTCGATTCGGACTATCCGGAGAAGTGGTCGCAAGCAGGTGTGTTACGGTTTTTTTAATATTTTTTATACCGTGGTGTTAGATGTGGTCGTTATTATTATTTTAAAGTTTTGGTCATATGAACTCCAAAGAGAAACAGGCAGCGGTTTCTCCAGAAGATTTAGCTAGAGCCACACTGGTTACCATTACCTACAATATAGCGTCCATTGCGAGG